ATCTTTATCTGCCATTCAGAGCTGTTGTGTTGTGACTGTAGAAAGGCAATGAATCTCTACCAACTCCTGAGGAACATATCTGGCTCTTTAGCCAAAATGTTAACTCTCTAACTGTGTCTGTCTGCTGATCAGGTAGTGTACATTTGGTATTTTGAGCTTTTTCTCTGAAAACAGCTGCCTGCTGTGGATATTTTTTAGTCATCAGTTTTTATGTGTTTGTGTCTAGCTTTGTTCCTGTTCTGTCTAGCTTAGTGTTATTTCATGGTCTGTCTTGCCTTTCTGTTTTCACTCTGCCCGCCTGTGTGTCTGCTGCAAGTGGCAACCTTCTGGTTTCCTGGGTGAAGCCGAACCAGAAATGCCTAAAAAAAATTCATTGAGTGGCTACTTGAGGCTGGCTCCAAAAGGGAATCAATCTCCATTGACTCCCATGCTAAAATGGCCAACTTTACAGCAGAATAAAACATGTTTACTGCCTGGTACAAAAAATGGTTTTAGTGTATATAGCTAATTTTGCCCTTCATGACAACTGTGAGGTGTGACCTGTGTCACCCGTTTAAATTAAATTAAGCCTTAAAATTCTGCATTATTAGCATGTCGCTTTGATTGACAGGTGGCTGCTGTGGCTATCACCGCTAGCCAACTGACTGCCGCAGGTTAGTTCAGCTAATACAGTCCTTCACGGAGCTCAGCAGCTATGCTCTGTTGGAGCCTTTTGGACTTTTCTTCATGCAGATACCGGACAAATAATGGCAGGATTTTCGGTTTATTGGAGAGAAAGAGAACCCTCAGAAGGTGAGTGAAATTGTAGTATTTTAATTATGTGTTTCAATAATTAGCGGGTATGGGTACTTAACGTTAGCTTATAGCTTAGCTAACATTACCCAACTAGCTAATTAGCCAGCTTCAAGCTTTGGTAACGATGCTAAAATAACGGAAGTCTGCTAACTGCAGTTAATAAAGAATCAATCACAGAAGTCAAAACATATTACAGAAGTGTTTGAATTTTGGGTGAAAACACTTTGGAACAAAAGACGTCTGTTACAAGGTGAGCAATGTTAGTAAAGTAACGTTAATGGCCCACCTCGTCAGTTAGCTGACGTTATGTAACGTTAATGTTAACGGTAAACTTGCCAAACAGGCATTGTCAGATTTGGATAAGTAACATTAAAGTTACTGTAACAGAGTCACTGTGTCACTAGAATAAGTGGCTCCACCTGGACTGAGGGATGGGGTAGATCCAATTTTCTTTCTTTCTACCAACAATAATTGACAGCATACACAAATATTTTGGATCTTTTCTTTAATGGAAAATTCTTTCTTTATTAGGATCCCCATCAGCACCAGCATAACCATTAGCTATTATCACTGGGGGCCATTCAACTGTACGTTCATAATAAAACATTAATGATCAACTTTTGCATTTTTTCTAAAACTGCAGCAGGACAACAAGCAGCTGTGTACAGGACCTTCTCTCACTCACATCTCAATTTAAAAAGTGCTCCATATTAGGCTACTGGACGGAGATGTTTTGTACAAATAAAATCCTCCTGAAAATAAATTGCAGTATTAAGTAGGCCGGAATGAGGGGGTTTACTTGCAAACTACTTTAATCTGCTCACCTCGCTTTTCCCTTCAGACACACATACCTACACCTGTCTCTCTCTCCGTGTATCTGTCTGCTCTGTTGACTTTATTTGTCGGCATAAAGACCACTTGCGTTTTGAAATTTTTCACCTGCAATTCCGTTTTCAAAGTAGCAGGTGAGCCTCATGGAGGCTTGTTGTTAATTACCAGTCGAGACAAATGTGGTACTGAATGACATCGGCACCATCAGCTGTGTTCACTGTTTACCTGGTCCGTGCATTGTAAAATATCGACCATGTCAGTGTCTTCTAACGTAGTGCAAGATACACTCAACAGGTGTAGCATTGTCTTTGGCTGTGACAATAGCCATTTACTGTCTGTGTCACGGTGCGCATGATGTCAAACATCATGCAACACACCGTGTGTTGGAAGCCAGCCAGATATAGGGCTGAGTCCGGTATCAATCCACAAAGCCACGTCTCCATGAAGCAGAGAACAGACGATGAATAAAAGCCATTGTTTTTTTCCCCACCAGTAGCTGTAGTTTGTCCAGTGTGTTGCACTTTGAGTGCATGTTGGTAGGGGTGAACGATTAAAATGTCTCCATGATCTTCCTTTTCAGAGAGGTTGTTAGTATCATGCTACAGTGCACAGTCTATCAGTTTCATCTCTATGGCTCATACACACAGTTGACAGCCGCTCTGTCAACATCAAAAGTCACGTAGTGTGAACGCCTCAACGAAGTCAAGATCTCGTCACAAGTCGGCATGTTGTCTATTGTGAACAGCACGGCCATCGGCAGGCGCTGAAAGTCATTTAGTCCGCACGAGCCCTCAGCTGCCTCGCTGCCTGTGTCCTCCGTTGTCTACAAAGGCAACACTGTAACTGTTGGGCCTCAGAATGAACATTAAAGTTCCATGTGTCCCCGGCTGCTCTGCCTCAACTCTCTGGGATTTACGGAGGTTGCTGATGAACTGAAAGTGTTACTTGTTGCTAATGTAACCACTGACTGGTCATCTGAATCAGGTTTTCAGGCCACGGTAATGTCAGAGAGTGGCACCCCAGAACCTGAGCCGCGTGAACAACAGTCAGCAGCCTCCAAGTGAACAAGGCATGAACGGGCCCGAACACAGAGACAGACAGACAGGAATATACAGTGAGGAAAATAAGTATTTGAACACCCTGCTATTTTGCAAGTTCTCCCACTTAGAAATCATGGAGGGGTCTGAAATTGTCATCGTAGGTGCATGTCCACTGTGAGAGACATAATCTAAAAAAAATAATCCAGAAATCACAATGTATGATTTTTTAACTATTTATTTGTATGATACAGCTGCAAATAAGTATTTGAACACCTGAGAAAATCAATGTTAATATTTGGTACAGTAGCCTTTGTTTGCAATTACAGAGGTCAAATGTTTCCTGTAGTTTTCACCAGGTTTGCACACACTGCAGGAGGGATTTTGGCCCACTCCTCCACACAGATCTTCTCTAGACCAGTCAGGTTTCTGGGCTGTCGCTGAGAAACACGGAGTTTGAGCTCCCTCCAAAGATTCTCTATTGGGTTTAGGTCTGGAGACTGGCTAGGCCACGCCAGAACCTTGATATGCTTCTTACAGAGCCACTCCTTGGTTATCCTGGCTGTGTGCTTCGGGTCATTGTCATGTTGGAAGACCCGGCCTCGACCCATCTTCAATGCTCTAACTGGGGGAAGGAGGTTGTTCCCCAAAATCTCACAATACATGGCCCCGGTCATCCTCTCCTTAATACAGTGCAGTCGCCCTGTCCCATGTGCAGAAAAACACCCCCAAAGCATGATGCTACCACCCCCATGCTTCACAGTAGGGATGCTGTTCTTGGGATGGTACTCATCATTCTTCTTCCTCCAAACACGATTAGTGGAATTATGACCAAAAAGTTCTATTTTGGTCTCATCTGACCACATGACTTTCTCCCATGACTCCTCTGGATCATCCAAATGGTCATTGGCATATATATATATATTGACAGTCATGTTTAGCTTCTTCCATTTTCTAATGATTGCTCCAACAGTGGACCTTTTTTCACCAAGCTGCTAAGCAAAGCAGAGTCAAACCCGGAAAGAAAACCACCCGGTCCTGTATTCCTTGTTGTCAAATTGGCCTCTGTCGGTTTCGGAAGCATGCGCTCAGTCCCGGTCCGGCCGCAGTGTTTACTCACTGAGAGCTGAACCAGTCTGCACAGTCTACATGACTGGGTGGGGGCATAACGTACATCCAGGCTATTGACTACTGTGAACGGCAATCAATATCTGCAACAAGTCTTGCAACTGTCTTTGTGTTTTTAAATATGCAGAATATATAAGAATAAAATGAATCAGTTCTTTGTGGTTTAAATTAATCATTAGACCATATTGTATATGATTAATAAAGTAGTGTTATTTTTCTCTTTTAAACCAATAACTTGTAAAATAGTCTTAAAAACCAACAGGAAAATGAATCGTAAGATTGTGAATTGTGATCTGCCTGAAATAAATCGTGATATGATATTTTTGCCATATCGCCCACCCCTACATGTTGGAGTGAAATATTCCCTGTAGCGCTGTGCGGAGTCACCGTTGATGGAGGCACACAAGTGCTCTGGCGCATCACACAGCCCAAACAACAGCAAGCGTACCCTTGACCAAAATGTCCAGTAATTCCCCTAATGATGCAAGAAAAGTGGGAAATAAAGTTTAATAAGTTGGTTGATCTGTTGGAGCTTTTTAGTGATGTCACAGTGTTCTCAGATCACATGTATTGACTTGGGGAGTTCATTGTTATTATAAATGACCAAGTTGTAATAAACTGGTATTATCCTGTAAAAAAGTGACATTTAGAAAGAAATTCAATTTTGAACAGAATCATTAAGGGAAACTGGACTGTAATTAAACCTGGGCTTCTAGCTAGAGCAAGTCCCATGGTTCAGGATTCAAAGTCAGACGAAACCATCAGCCAGTTCTTTCACAAGATACATTTAAAAGAACAGCTGTCATGAACACCTTAATGAGGATAGTACCTTTAGATTTTTTTCCCCCTGTGCCAATCATCTACTGCCACCCTCAGGACAAGCCTTATTTACATAATATTTATTATTATAAGTAAAGGGTCTAAGAATAGTATTATCATCATTCTGTTGTGCATCATTCTTCACCTAAATGATGATTTAGTGATCTACTGTGGTGATTACTCTCTGTTCATCTAACCTGATCCCAACACAGACTGCTCTACTTTAATCACATCTGTATTGTGGCTCCACCAACTGGAACCATAATGGCAGAAATCCAAACTGCCAAACATGCTTTCAAAAACATATGTGTGACATCACAGACACTACATCTATGATATGTTTTTGTTTTTTCATGGTTTATGTCTCTTCCACTGTGTCTGTCCTTCTAGGTTCCCAGCTATTCATTGGCCATTAGAGCTTTGGATAGTGGAATACCACCCATGTCCTCTACCGTAATGGTCAACATCGACATCTCTGACGTCAATGACAACCCGCCCACCTTCTCCCCAGCTAACCTCACTACTGTCATACAGGTTAGCATAATGATTGACATGATATTTACTGTGATGAATTAGTGTGATGTATTAATTTAAGAAATATTTCCATAAATTCATCTGAGCCACAAGTATTATCCCAAATCTGGGCCCTGTAAATAAGATGCCTCAGTAGCCCCCTTACCCTTTTAATAAATACATTGTCTGTGTTTATAAGCCTGAACATACTGTAAAAAGCTTGCACTATGAGGTTTTAGAACATTATTTCTGTCATGTTTTTAGGTCTCCTGTTAATAAGACAAAGGTGGAGAGCTATTTTGTTCACCTTACTGCAGGATTGGACTAAACCATGTGCAGACCTTACTCTGTGAAACTATTTAGTCAGCAGTAATAGTTTGTATAATGCGAATAATTAAAAAATCTAAATTTTTAACTTTTAATGAAAGGCTTTTTGAGGGCCCTCACTAAGTTCTGTCCCTGGGTACTTAGTTTCACTATTCATCCAGCTACTACACCCCTTCCCAGCTAAAACCTCGCAAATTGTTTTGTTATAATTAAGACCTGAAGGGCCAAATAACCTCCTGTTCATATTGGCCTTTAAGATAGCCTATGCGAAATCCATTTCAATGTAAATAATGGTGATCAAATCCCACAGTTGGGCTTCAACTTGTTACGAGGTGTGGTGTGTGGACAGAGAGGACCCAAATGCAGCACTCTGAGGGAAGGAGGTTTATTGAGGGAAAAAGGGTGAGAGGGACTGGAGTGGAGGGAGAGGAGGACGTCGGGGAAGCAAGGAGACAGGGGGCCAGGGAACACAGGGGCCGAGGAAGCGAGGAGAGGCGGGGGAACAGGGAGGACGCCGTGAGGGAAGTCCGAGGAGGAGTGGGCCAGTGGATGAGCCCAGCCGAACGGAGGACGAGGGTGAGCGTACCTGGGAGGGAAACAGACAGAGAGACAAGGTTAGGGAAGACAGCAACAAGGCACAGGGTTAATGTAAAAAAACAACAAACCAAGAAACATGAAAGCCTGAACGTGGGGGTGGCACCGGGTATGGAGCTACGACGATCAAGCGAGGATGGTGTGGAGAACCGGGGTTGAAATACAGGCAGTCATGAGGTGATTACTGGCAGGTGTGGCAGGCTGACGAGGTGGCTGATGAGATGCAGGTGCAGGTAGTTGGCTGGGCTCAGGAGCAGAGGGAGAGAGAGAGCACACAGGGGAGAAAACACAGGGAGGCAGGCAGAGAACAGGAAACCAAGGAAAAAGCAGAAAAACTGATTAGGAGAAAAAACCAGGACACTCACCGTCAGCCGGGCTGCCACCACAACAAAACTGACAAATACAACAGACAAGTACAGTGGGTATCATCAGAGACATTTTAGAGGAGACACGCCACTCAATTACATTCTCTGTACAACTCTGGGCCCAAAACGGCAAAGATGGCTGTTATCCCGCCCTTCCCGCTCGAAAGCCAATTGTCTGCTTTTAACAGCCAAAGCTGGAAACATATTTCAGCCAATGTGGTTCCACTGACATAAGGGTCTGCTATTCTTCTACTGCACATGCGCGGAAGTGGTGATGCATGCGTAGTAGAAGCATAACTGGTCAGGAAAAACGCTTTTTACAAAGTTATCAAAATTTTTCCGCAAATTTGATCAGATTTTACTTCGTATTCTATTTGTGTAGTTTTTATGTCCTGGTGACCAGTAAAAGTTCAGTTCTGGCTCTCCCCATTCATTCAGATAGGAGCCTGGTCTTGTTAGTCCAAAATAGCTGCCCGGAGGCGTGTGGCCGAGTGGCATGACTTGCCTATAAGGACTTTGGTATCATCCAAAGTCTTTTAAATACAAAATACCCTCTTTTTGTTTCCCTGGGCAGTGTTTTTATGCTGAGCTGCAGTGGTAACACAAATTGCAAGTAGAAATTGCAAAAAAAATGTAATAACACAGGGATTCGTCAAACTCAACCAATTTACAAACTTGCCACCATGATTTCCTGGAGGAAGTGACTAAACTGATATATCTCTTCAGGGAGTGGCAGGGTTCGTTATCAATACATATATTTCAATTACAGGACCAGATGCTAAAATTAGTAGCTTTCCAGCTTTATTTTCTGTATACTAAAATTGAAATGACTATTCATTTCTCTTTTATCATCATAATGTGACCCTGCATAATCTATCTCCAAACAGGCAGGTCTTTCTAATGATGTGTCTCCTCCCTCAGGAAAACAAGCCAATCGGCACCAGCATTATACAGTTGTCCGTCACTGATCAGGACTCCTCCCACAACGGCCCACCCTTTGACTTCCGCATCTTGTCAGGAAATGAAGGTGGAGAGTTTGTACTGGAGAAAGATGGAACACTGGTGGCCAATCAAGTTTTCAGGAGGGAAATGGCTGAATATGTTATTCAGATACAGGTAGAGTAGTCAAACTGCTGTTTAACATGACACCTGCAGCAGCTGCTGTAGTGATTCTTCTCTAGCGTCACATCAGCTTTTTTGCGTGCATAATTTGCTCTGTACTTTTCTCCCTCTCTTTATTAGGCTACATGAATGAGCACAACAAGTGGTTAGTCCTAGAAAAACAGGAGAAAGAAACGTCCAAAACAAAAAAGGCTTCTCAATTTCAGTTCAATTTTATTTTAATAGTGCCAAATCACAACAAAAGTTTTCTCATGGCACTTTTTATATAGAACAGGTGTAGACCGTACTCTTATTTAAGGAAATCCAACAGTTCCCACCAAGAGCAAGCACTAGGTGACAGAGGCAAGGAAAAACTTCCTTTAAGAGGCAGAAACCTCGAGCAGAACCATGGCTCGGGGTGGGCGGCCATCTTGGTGTTGAGAGAGAGAGAAAGAGAGACAGAGAGAGAGAGATGGGCATAAAGAGGGAGAGAGGGATGGAGGGGTAGGGTGTAGCAGCCTACACAATATACACACAGAGGTACAGACAGTAAAGGTGATGTTGCTATAGACTGAATGAAAAATGGTATAGATATGTATAGTAGTGTTAATGATTATAATAACAATAGGACTAGCAACAATAGTTGTTGCAGCAGAGGGTGTCGAGCAGGAACACGGGGGCAGCAGGTGACCCGCAGCCACAGATCCAGACTCCACAGCTCCAGAGCCAGAAAACCTGCAGGAAGTGATGAGGAGAGGGACGAGCTTTATCAAAGAGGAAAGTCTTAAGCCTACTCTTAAATGTGAAGATGGTGTCTGCCTCCTGAACCCAAACTGGAACCTGGTTCCACAGGAGAGGAGCTTGATAGCTGAACGCTCTGGCTCCTAGTCTACTTTTGGAGACTCTAGGAACCACAAGTAACCCTGCATTCTGGGAGCGCAGTGCTCTGGTGGGGTAGTAAGGTACTATGAGCTCTTTAAGATAAGATGGTGCCTGACCATTAAGAGCTTTGTAGGTAAGAAGAATGATTTTAAATTCTATTCTGGATTTTACTGGAAGCCAATGCAAAGAAGCTAAGACAGGAGAAATATGATCTCACTCCTACTAACTGCTTAAGAGGGTTCAATGTGTATACAAATTCTTATTTACAACAATCAAACTATTTACATTAAACCAAAGGTTTACATATTTTCACATCTCTTAGCTGCTGTCACTACTTACAAAGGCTATCACAGCACAGAACACAGAGCTAAAGGTTGTACATGTTTTGGGGTCGCAGAGTGGAGAGGAAGAGATTCTGTGAGCTGGGGTTTAAAATGGCTGCCTTGGACCAATCATGAGGGTGCAATCAACTCTGAAGAATCACGGGTGCCTTCCCATTACATGCAAGAACACATGCACACACACATACTGAAGGGGAAGAACATGTAATTGAAGGAGAAAAAAGGAAATATGACCCCAGGGTCATAACACAACACAAAAGACACACTTGCTGCCCTCTGTCAGCTCCGTGTCAGCACTCTGTGTTTTCTGCTGACCTCAGACCAGCTCTCTGCAGTCTTTACTGTAGTCTGTTAGCTGCTAGCGCTTTTTGAAAGTGATACTCTAAAAGCAGAAAACCAAAAAAGTGAGGCCAAGGATGCTTTATCTAATCTGAACCTCCTGGTGTAATTTGTTGAGTCAAGATGGGGCACGCTTTGGTAGGAAATTTTACAGGCAGACCTGGGATCACCAGACCACGAGCCTCGTAAGGGAATGCATGAATGGACAAAATAATAAATAAAGTAATGCAATGAATGCAACCGAATAAAAGTAATATATATCGAAAAATCAGGAGTAAAAACGTAGCTGCATTACTACTCCAACTAGTACAATTTAGTCCAAAAAGTGTAAGTAATGGAGTAAATGTAACTCATTACTACCCACCTGTGCATATAAACTTCCTGACCAAATAAAGATAATGTAGACAATGACATGTTACAGATTAGAGATGATACCAAGTCATTTGTCCTGTCCGCTTCTCCTTTCATTTCTATTTTCATGTGTTTCCTCCTGTATTTTCTTATGATCACCCTTTCTCTCCCTGTCCTCCTTCCTCCTCCCAGGTGACAGACTCAGGGAAGCCTCGTCTCTCCTCCTCCTCCATGCTGACAGTCAGGGTGATTGAGGAGAGCCTCCACCGTCCTGTGGCATTGCCACTGGAAGTTCATATCGTCACTATGGAGGACGAGTTTCCTGGTGGTGTGATTGGCCAGCTGCACGCCACCGACGCTGACCCTTATGATGCGCTGACCTTTGGCCATGCCCCCCCAGCCCAGCGCAGTCTTTTTAAGATCAGTCCTCATGATGGTAAGATCATCGCCCTGGGAGGATTGGATGCAGGCAGGTACTCTCTTAACGGCAGTGTTAGTGACGGTCGTTTCGCCGTGCCTGTGCCCGTGAGTATTCATGTGGAGCAGGCCACACCGGAGATGCTGCGCGAGGCGGTGACCGTGCGCTTTGAGAGTGTGGCACCACAAGACTTTGTGGCATTGCACCTTAAGAGCGTTTTGAAGGTGTTACAGCAGGCAGCCACATCGCAGCAGCAGGATATGCTGCACCTGCTTAGTTTGCAGCCAGTTGGCGGGACTCAACAGCTGGACATGCTCGTTGCAGTGAAAACAGCAGGGGACGGGTACTACAAGGCGGCATATCTCACCCAGAAACTCAGTGCATCACGGCGGCAGCTGGAGGAGGTCCTCAGAGTGTCAGCTATCCTAGATAAGAACTGCTCGGGGCTAGAGTGTCGCGGAGCGCAGTGTGAACAGAGCATCACCCTGGACTCGCACAACCTGGCTACATACAGTACCCCACGGGTCAGCTTCGTCTCACCACGCTTCCACCGGACCTCACGCTGCACATGCAGTGGTAAGTGAGAGAATCTCGTAAATGTACCATAGATTTATCTGTCTGTAGTCTGATTGAGTATTCATACATTTGGTGTGTTCCAGAATAAAGAGCCAAAGTGAAACAGGAACATTCATGCTGACAGGGTCGGCTGTGGTTGTTCAATCCCTGGCTCCTCCAGGTGGCATGTCGAAGTGTCCTTGAGCAAGATACTGAAACCCGATTTGCCCCGATGGCTGTTTCATCAGTGTGTGAATGTCAGTTCCTGTTTGAGCACTTAGGCTCAGTGTTGCTCAGTGCGATGTAGTGTAAAAAGCGCTTTGAGTGGTCGCAAACACGAAGGCGCTACATAAATACAGAGCATTTACATTTCCAAAACCAAGAAAATTGGAACTTTGGAACACTACAAAATCAACACCTATGGACTGCAAATGTGGCTTGGCTTTGCAGTACCTAATTGCTTTACTAAAAGTCCAGCTTTACGAAAAGCATCACTTTTCACACACCAGTATACAGTAGATGAGAGATTCACACATGTTAAGTGTGGAAAATATCTGACAGTGTGTGGTTGAGGAACCACAGTTACAGTGTTGATTAACTTTGAATCTGGTAGCTCGCTTACTTATTTTGGATCATCGGAACATCAAAACTTGCCGCATTGCCACGCCAATGCCGTTTGACGAAACCTCAAAAGCTTCACAATTTAGCATTGGAGAGATCTTTAGATTGCATTACCTAAATTTCAATTCCATTGGATTAATTCTCTAGATTTAGTTTGTTAAAGCATGGAGCGTGTAAATGACGCAGAATTTGATATTCAATTAAAAATATCTGACTTCTTGTCGGGTTTGGGATATGACTTCAAGAGAATCTTTTAAGTTTAGAGATGATACATCTGACTCCTAAATTTCATACATCTAGGTGAAACGTTTGGCAGGGGCTGCTTCATTGCCAATCATTGCAGAACTTTGATGACTATGATTTTCGCCAGTCCTGACGGGACAATTAAATGCTCCGTACATGTAAATGCTCCGTACTTGTATAGCGCCTTTCTAGTCTTTTCAACCACTCAAAGCGCTTTTACACTACATCTGCATTCACCAGTCATACACATTCATACACTGAGCCTAAGTGCTCAAACGGAAACTAACATTCACACTCATTCATACACTGGCGGAATAGCCAATTAACCAACCTTTTTTCATTCCAGGCGGATGGGTTATAGATATACAGTAAATCTACGGGTCACACTTATCATTACATTTACCACATCTTGCTAACCCAAAATTAGCCACCTTGAGTGCTGCAAGCAGGTATTACGGCACAAAGTCTTTGCAATGTTCCTCAACCTCTCTTCCTCATCAAAATAAACCTCATTCTGACGGACTGGAAAAAGTTGGTATAAGATGTGTGTTTTTGATTGTAATTGCCAGCCAACAAAGGCTGAATACTGAATCTATTTAGAATTTAACATAAAAGATATTGCTGTAATATATTAGCTATTTGGAATACCAAAACATATTAGTTTCAGGCAAATTGAAAAAATGTTTGTTTGTTCATTGTCTGTAATATAAATGCACAATTATGAGATTGTCTTAATGACTGAAAGCAAAACTTTCTAAACTCTCTAATAATCAAAATTCTACCAGAATGTTTGTGTTTTGTTTTGGATTGAATTATATATGATTATTGCATGTACGATATATAGGCCTATACCTGAAATCTTACTTCAAAATGTTATTTTCCCAAATCATGTCCTCAGTTGAGGCAATGATTCACACAGTTTACTAATCTATATACAAAGTTTATTATTACATTCACTATGTCCCTTTAGTCCCTTTAGACTGATTTCACAATCAATATTAGGTATTGATGTATGCAAATGATAGCAAAGACCCTATATCCCTCTGTTTTTTCTTTCAATTGTACAACTCTTTCAATTGTACAACTGCCTTGCAGTCAGTTCATGTTCTTTATGGTAGCATGAAAAGTGTATTTTCTTTCTGTCCCGGTGTGTGTACAGATACCAGCTGTGCTGTCCTCTCAGAGCAGTGTGAGGACCAGCCATGTCCAGCAGACATGCAGTGTGTTTCAGTTGAGGCCAAAAGAGGGCACTATGCATGCCAATGTCCACCGGGCAAACTAGGAGAATGTGCAGGTTTGTGGGTGTGTGAGGAAAAAGGGAACACACAGAATTCTCATTTTCTTCTCAATTTGATGTGATTTATGCAACAACAACTTTGCTTTTTGTAAATACATTTTAATGTACTTTATATATATATATATAAATATAAATTATGTATAAACATAAGTGTGTGTGTGTGTGTGTGTGTGTGTGTGTGTGTGTGCAGGTCATTCGTCTCTGAGTTTCTCGGGTAACAGCTATATCAAGTACAGACTGTCTGACCGGCTGCAGACAGAGCTGAAACTCAGCCTGAGGATCAGAACACTGCAGAGCCGAGGAATCATCATGTACACACACACTGAGCCTTGCACCATGCTCAAGGTACAAACACACAAGGTCTAGGCTCTGACATTTTAAAGGGGTAATGGCTGGTCGATCAGAAAGAGCAGAAAACTGCTGCTCTGCTCTCTGTGGGCTGAATCAACAAACAGACTGAAGGAAATTAAGTAAACATTTTCTTAGAATAATTTGCCGTGAACCTATTATAACATTTTTTTAATTGAAGTTTAATTTATTTTACATTTTATACTTATTACTTATTTGATGTAATTATGAGATGTATTTTACAGATATTTTAGATTCTCATTTCAACTTGACAACTGCCAGAGGTCATGAGAAATGTAGCACTTAAAATGCAGGCATGTGCCAGACTATGTTGAGAAACCCTGAAGGAGGATCAAAGTGTAATAGGAAACATTAAAGAGGTGGTATTATGCTCATTTTCAGGTTCAAAATCTTAATTAGGTGTTGTACCAGAACAGGTGTACATGGTTTCATTTTCAAAAAACACCATATTTTTCTCATACTGCACATTGCTGCAGCTCCTCTTTTCACCCTGTGTGTTGTACGCTCTGCTCTTGAGCTACAGAGTGATGCATTTTACTTGTACAAAATCTTTGTTGGGAGTTGCACATGCGCAGTTCCCAGATAAGGTGTGCAAGTAGACGGCCTCACTTTTGCCTCCCTAAATATTTCAAAAGGGGTGCCTCAAGGCTCAATCCTTGGGTCTCTTCTTTTTATCATTTATAAAAACAATCTCTGCAATAATATAAAATATACAAACTATCATTACTATGCTGATGACACTGTTCTCTATTGTTCTGGGTCCACATTAGGTCAAGCAATCACAAATTTACAGTACACTTTTAACATCTTGCAACATAATCTGACTACTTTAAAATTGACTAAAGTCATGACTTTCACTCTGGGAAAATCAACTAAAAACAATGTCCCAACCATTTATACACTTTCTGGTACAGAAATCGAAGAAGTGTCACATTACAAATACTTGGGCATTACCATTAACCAATCACTGTCTTTTACATTGCATGTCCAAGATTTGGTTAAAAAACTGAAATTGAAGGTAGGTTTTTTTTTTTTTGAATCAAGTCCTGTTTATTTTTTGAAGCAAAAAAACAACTTTCTTGTCTGTCTTGGACTATGGTGATATTTTATACATGTATTCAACCTCCCAGTGTCTTCATGCTTTGGACACTGTGTTTCATGGAGCCTTGAGATTCATCACAAACTTAAAATCTCTCACTCATCACTGTTTGCTGTATTCTCGGGTCGGGTGGTTCTCCCTTTCCATTCGGCGTTGGATGCACTGGCATCTTTTTAAGGCAGTGTTAGGACTTTTTCCTCCTTATCTGAACACTTACATCCTCCTGAGGCCTGCAGGGACATATCACCTGCGCTCACAGGATCTGTTTTTATTGACTGTCCCTAAAGCCGGCAGTGACTTTGGCAAAAAGGCTTTTAATTTTGCAGCACCATCTGCATGGAATCAACTTCAGAATGTACAACAGTTGAAGGAATTGGTCTCACTTTATTCTTTTAAAGGCTTTTTAAAGGACCTTGCAGAAAGGCAGTCTGTCTGTAACTGTTTTTAAATTGATTTAGGACCCAGGTTTTTTATTATGACATTGTTGTTTGAATATGATGAGTGAAAGTGTGTCTATGTATTTACCTGTAAGTGTCTCTGTATCTATTTGTAACTGCGCTGCTGCCACTTGCCAGGACACTCTTGTAAAAGAGATTTTTAATCTCAAGGAGTGTTTTATCTTGTTTAAATAAAGGTTTGAATGAATGAAGGACTACTAGGACTACTAAGAAACAAGGTAGTGTGATCCAAATCAAAGCCGCTTCAGACTACGACCGAAACCTAGCAGATGGTATGAGTTACTCTCAAGTCCACAACCACACAACATCATTGTTCCACATCTTACCATAAACCACTACAAAAATCACCATATTTCAACTCAATTTTACATAAAAATCGGCCAAACAATTTGAACGTTTGCTCAGTAGCTTTCACATCAGGTGTAACATTAGCATTATAGCTATAACTTTAGCTGTGTTAGCCAGCGTTTACAACAACTCCGTACTTGAACAGTCTGTGAAGTTACATTGACGTGTTTATTTTAAATATAATTCACAACGAATAAAGCATACTTACAGGTTGTGATTATGAATTTCCAGGCCCAGAGATAGTACTTCGCGACATAATGTTCAATGCAACACACACACCAGCGATCCACACAGCTTTCTCTTTTTTAAGTTAAAACGTTTGAACATTCCTCAGAATGTAAAGACAGATAAGCGGTATGAAAAGCTTCCAGCTGTGTTTTCCTATGCCGTTGTTGCTGCAGCGGTCTCTGTGACGGCGGGAGCAGAGGGGTCTGTGAGCGGCCGGCCGGCCGGCCTCACACGCTCCTCCCGCGGGTTGGCGCAGGCTTCCCCTGCAGACACTCATGAAGCTCCTCAACTACAAAAATATTCAAGCACATTTTTGTTCCGCCATCACTTCTCGTAAAACTGTCAATATTGAAATCTACACAGCTGATTTCTCACCTCAGAACTTCTCAGAAGTGGATTTAGTGATGAAATAACGCATGAAAACTGTAAAATATAAAACTTTCTGTTACTCGCCTCTGTCTGTCTGGTGCAGCAATGATGATGCAGTGAATAGTGAATATTCTCTCTGACCAATCAGCAGTCTGTCTGTTTTCACGTTACATTTTAGTTTCCCTCAGCTTGCTTGGAACCTCGATGGAGGTGAGGTGATACGAGAAAAAGTACCTGGAAGCAGGTACAGGTGCAACATTTCTACAATGGAAAACCAAACAAAGGCGAGTCGAGCCAAAGGGCCTCTGCTCAGACTAGCTTGGTTTGAGGGCGTGCCTGACCCCGCTAGCCGCTTGGCAAGCTTTATGACGTGTTTCCATTGTGACGTCACAAGTTAAGGAAGTGAAGGGCTGGACTACAAACGAGCTGTTTTCAGGCGGTTCAGAGCAGAGCTTTCTGTGGGAGATGGGAACTCCCTTTGGCCTGGACTTTGGGCTTTTTCACTTTGCAAACCTGTTACATGCACAAAAAAGAGAAATAACTCAATAAAGGAGAGGGAAAAAATCAAAAAGCATAATACCACCTCTTTAAGACTTGCAATTCATGAAAGTAATATTGCTAGAAAATACTTTAATTACTTTAAATTCCTTTCTATATTTAAATTTCCGTGTTATGATTTCTTATTGGTGTTATATTAATCACACATATCTATTATTTTTCAGAACACTTTATATTTACATACATCTTAGTCTAATGATGCAAAATGGGACAAGACAAATTCTGTGTTTACTTACAATGCACAGCCATAGTTGCTAATTATGTATAAAAGTTTTGTAGAAGACCTGTTGTAAACGAGACGATTTTCTTTAAATTAATTCCCTGATATGTATAAGAGATATACTGTGCAACATACGTGTGTGTGTGTGTGTGTGTGTGTGTGTGTGTGTGTGTGTGACCAGTTGGAGGAGGGGAGGCTGTGGTTCCAGCTGGCATGTGGCCTTGGCGGTGGAGGTGGTGACAGTCCTGACATGTTGGGCATCTCTGGCCGTCGTATCAATGATGGCAGCTGGCACACGGTGGCACTGGAGCTGAACCGCAACTTCAGCAGCCTGGCGCTGGATAACAGCTACGTTGAACAACGCCGTGGACCTCCATTTATCCAACTACTCGCTCCCGACAGGACCATCTACTTTGGAGCACTGGTCAGTCAATGAGTAGTTGCAGCTGCAGCTGCAGCACATTAGGCTAAATTTACTGTTATCTTGCTGACAGCAGACTGAGAGGAGAGAACACAAGTTTACCTGACTACTGTTCACGCACTTCACTCTCATTGAGTTTTTTCTCTTCTCATGCCTAGAAGGATAGTCCCTCTTCATCCTCTCATCAAAGTTGTTAACACTCACTTTCACCTTGACATGAGAGCAATGCGGGGCTCTCCAGCTCTGTGCGAGAGCCTGATTTCTATCACTGCGTGTGCTGGTGTCACATCAGCTGGGCAAAGTTGATTTGTGCCGAGTCATGCGCAGCATACTAATACCAATGTAACAAGGTCTCGTGCAGAATGTAACGGAGTAAAAAGTATTATTAGTAAATATTTAGCTTTGAAATGTAGCGTAGTGAAAGTAAAAAGTTGCAACAACTAAAAATACTCAAGTAAAGTACAAATACGGAAAAATACTACTAAGTACAGTAACAAAGTTTTTGTACTTTGCTACTTTCCACCACTGGCAAAGACTAGTATGTTGTGCATATCTTAGAAGCTGATTGCATTTTTAAGTTTGTTTAAATCTGACTACTTTTAGGCCAGCACTATAATAAACTTCAAAATGTCTTTCTTCTTGATGCCTTTAATGCAGAATTTAGATGTTGCAAAATAAAACTTATGTATAACAAAACAGTATAATCCTAATCATGATATGTAATCACTTCTTAAATTTTTGGCCTGCACAGTTGATCCCAGTTTTATTTTAACTATTGAGAGTGAAAGGTGTACTCGTTCACCGACATTTTGAGTAATCACCTCTGTTTTCACCAAAATAAGTGGTGTAGATATTAGAAATATGGTTTATTTGTTCACAGAAATTATAAAAATGTACTGCTACTTTTAATCTATAGATTTTTTATCATTTTCGGTACATATTTCTATCTTCCAACTAGCTGTTTATATTTACCAGGTTATTCTTTTTGCATATTGGAGACCACGCATGTATTACATTTTGTACTTATTAACTATCCAAACTCATAGCTAACTATAGCCTAAGTTACCCTTACTAAAAAGTGCTACGTCTACCTCAGTCACTGCCACAGAATTTCCAGGAAAACATTTTGATTGAAAGAAAATAACTCTTCTTTAAGTTTATACTTGAAGAAATTAAATGCATTACATCACTGAGAGTCCTCCCAGATACAGTCTGTGTGAGTGTCTTCCTATTTTGTTTTTTCTTCCGTGCATGTAAAAACTGTTTTGTCTATTTTGGCACGTCTTAAGGGGGTCTTTGTATGTTTATGAATTTTTGACCCCTCTCTCCTCAGGTGCAGCACCCCAGCTCTCGCAGCCTCATGCACTCCCAGAAGGACCCGCGGGTGCTTGAGGGTTTCCAGGGCTGCCTGGACTCAGTCATGCTAAACAACTACGAGCTGCCACTGCAGAACAAACGCTCACGCTACGCAGAGGTGGTAGGACTGACAGAGCTGAAGCTGGGCTGCATCCTCTATCCTGACGCCTGCCTACAGCAGCCCTGTCGCAACGGAGCCACTTGCATCAGCTTGCCCTCTGGAGGTGAGTAACACGAAATAGAGCAAAAAACACAACATAGGCCTGCAGGTGTTTTAGTGCCATATTAATTATTTAATTAAATGTGTTACATGTGTTTAGTGTGTTTAAAGTGTTCTGTAATGTGGTCTTTACTTTAACTATTTAGTTTTGATTGTTTGAAAGTATTGACAGTATTGAAAGTTATTATTTACAAACAATTGGGTGTATATCAAAAGCAAGATACCTGACACAAAATAAAGGGAAATCAAGTGGAAATCATAATCAGTGCTCATATGATTGGCTGACATGTCATGTGTCATTTTGCTTCACTGTACACTGTATCTAAATTAGGTGGACCAAATATTAAAAAACACAAACTTGCTATTTATTAGGCAGCTGTATTATGTAGCTTTCCATCATGAAATATTTTCTGGCTACTCTGTATGTTTTACATTTGTTTTATCAGAATTTAAAGGACAGATCTTTATCAAAATGTCACTTTGAGACACTTTTTGCTATTAAATGGCAAGATTTGATATCTATTCATTTATTTAACCATATTTGTAGTTGAAGACTTTAAAGACTTTAGTGATTTGTGAACAGCCCACATATTGTTCACTTCTGACAACAAACTAAAAAAACTGCATTTGAAAATGCATGTGAATGCTGACAGCTGAAATGATTTTGAAAGTGTTGCTGGAATTGCAGAAATATGAAATGGATTGCCTTGAAAATCTGAAATATCAAACTTTTTTGATTGGCAGAATTAGAAGCTGAACTGCATTCCCTGAAGAATAGATGAGAGCTAAAATACATTGCTAAAAAGACTGAAAGAAGAAATGTTTTGCATGGTAGTAGACAGCGCAACTAAATTGCCCTTACATGATTTTACACCAAAACGTTAGAAAACTGGTGCTAGTTCTGCGCAAGTATATTATAACGTCATCTGTGAACAAACTTATTGTATGTTCTTGTCCTTTAATTTGAATTCCCATTATTTCTTCACTCTGTTGTATAGGGTTCGATTTATTTGCCTTAAGTCCAGATATGGCCTGAGACACTTCTTTGAGTGTTATAGGGGCTGTAAGAATATTATTTTGCTTTTCTCCAATAGATGGTAAATCAAGAGAACTGAGGAACTGTCTTCATTGCCTCTTCATTGGACGAGTGTGGTTGAGAGTATAGTTTTATATAGACATTTCTAAATGTGTTTTCTATTTTCTGTTTCTGTTTCCCAAGTTGGTCTGAGCAAGGGTCTAAGGGTGCTAATAGCCTGTTTCTTGCTGATTCGACTTGCCAGAAGCCTAGTGGCTTTAGGGCTTGCTTCATAATAATGTTGTTTCACAAATCTTGAGTTTTTTCTCTATATCACTTCCCAAGATATCATCTATTTCTGTTGTGGTGTGGACAGAGTGGACCCAAATGCAACGCTCTAGATTAACAGGTTTTATTAGGGGAAAGAAGGGGTTGAGGGACTGGAGTTGAGGGAGAGGTGGATGCCGGGGAAACGCAGGCACGGGGAACCAAGGAGACTGAGACCAGAGAGCCGAGGGACACTGGGGCCGAGGAAGAGAGGAGGCACGGGAGAACTGATCAGGGGGTTGGTGGAGGAGTGTGGTGGCAGGCTGACTGGGGAGGCACGAGGGAGAGGACACCGTGGGGAGAGGGCAGGTGAGTGAGCCCAGCTGACTTGACAGAGGACGGGGGTGAGTGAACCTGGGGAGAGACAGACAGACAAACGGGGTTAGTGACTCAGGGAAAACCAAGAACAGGGAAACAGAGATCATGCAGGTTATACGAGAGCTTAAGTGATCAAGTGGTACCGGGTTAGGAGCAACGATGATCAAGCAGGGGTTGACTGGAGAACCGGGGTAGAAGTACTGTTGGAGATGAGGCTGATTGCTGGCAGAGGAGGTTGCTGTCGAGATGCAGGTGCGGGTCATTGGCTGGGCTCAGGAGCGGAGGGAGAGAGAGAGGGAGAGCACATGCAGGGGAGAAGACACAGGGAGGCAGGCAGAGTACAGGAAAAAACCAAGGAAAACAGAATCACAAACAAAAAAAGGAGAAAAAAACAGGACACTCACCATCAGCTGGGCTGCCACCACAACATATTTCTCCTTTAGTTTTTTGATTTCTTGCTTAAGTTGAGCTGTGTAGGTAGTCTGATGTTTTACTTCAAGGTGTTTTTCAATTAAATTAAGATACTATATCTGCTTTAGCTTCCTTTGTAGTGAAGGCTATTCATTTCCCCCGTATCTGATGGCCTTCAAAGTATCCCATAAGATGGCTGGGCTGATTCCTTCTGTCGTTATCCTCAATGCCTCTCTTTATTTCTTTTTTAATTTCTGCCATTGTTGCCTTGTTATTCAGTATGCTTACGTTCAGTCTACAGGTAGCGTTTTTCTGTCTGCACAGACCACAAGGCCAGATTCTAGTGCCATTGCGGAGAACAGAGATTTAAAAAATTGCTTATTGCTTCCTGGAGGTTCATAGACATTAACCAGTGTGACCATCTCTCTTTCTAGTTTACCTTTGATAATTACGTATTGTTACTGTTTGTCCTTAATCTCTTTCAAAAATTAAAAATGAGTTGAGTTCTCTGTAAGTTTTGCTACCCCTCTCTTGTTACTCTGCTTGCATGTGCTGTAGAATGTATTCCAAAAACCGTCTCCTGCATAAAAATAACTTGGGCCCTAAGTTTTCTCATTTTCAGGATTACCTTGCTCCTTTTGGTTGGATCGTTCAGCCCATTCACGTTCAGTGACACCATCAATAGACTGTTTATATGTATTTCTTGGAGATGAGCTTAGATGCTTCCTTTGAACCCATTTGTAACCATGAGAACAAACAATATCCCAAAAAATGTATGCATATGCCTCCCACGCATCCCCCGCGGGTCAAGGGGAAAATCCCATTGAGTATGAGGGCCCCTTCTCGTTGAGGTCTGGTGTCGTTGTCCAGCAACCTTCAAGCAACAGTCATTTAAATTGTTTATCTTCAGTGTCTTTAGATATGCTATATTACATGCACTCACATATTTAGATGCATCTACATACCCAGTGTGTCACTTGACACAACACAATAAACAATGTTTATTTCCCAATGTTTTCTTTTAAGTGTGTTTTTGTGATTTAAAGTGGTGTGAGTGTGTTTTTCAATTTTTTAATCATTCCTTTGTTAGTATATGCGTATTTGTTGGTGTGTGTATCTTCATTTTGCTGTGTGGGTGTACTCATGTGATTTGTGTGTTTTTTTTCAGGGCTTTGAATTAATTAATTTTGTCTATGTCCTTGTCCCCCTCCTCCTTGTCTGTCTGCCAGGGTTCTCATGCAGCTGTAGCCCCCAGTACACCGGAGGGCGCTGTGAGATGGAGATAACTGCGTGTGTTCCCAACCCATGTCAGAATGGTGCCATTTGTAAAGCCATTGGCAACGCGTTCCTCTGCAGCTGCAGGAGAGGTTTCAAGGGTCTGACGTGAGTTCCAGTGCAAACACACAAACCTGAATTACAAGTCCTTAATTTACCCACATTGTGGAAAAATATATTTTGTTACACACCTCTAGCAGGATAGTTTTGGTTTATTTGTCAAGGTTTGGAGATATCTGTCTCCGAGATGCCAGTCACCCCAACACAATGGATGTGAATGGAATTTAGATTGTGACGCTCACATTTAAGACATACTTTCCATGGAAGAAATAATCTCTTTGAAAACTTCTGACAGTGTGTTCCCTGTCACTCCAGAGCAACAGGAAGACTGAATCTGGATAAAATTGTTGCTGTACTTAAAAAAAGACAATTCCATTAACCTAGACTGTTTTGGGTTGGTGCCAACATATCAGATCATTTTGGTCTTGTTGACAACATGAGGACAAATACTAAATAACAAACCAGCTGCATAACCAGATACGATCAGGGGTGTTTGTGCAATTTTAATGAAATGGCCCTTTAAATTTTTATATGAAGTTCAAAGATGGGTCCCTGTTTCAGACAACACACTGAGTCTAAGCAGTTTTTCAGTCTGTAGTATGTTCACACTGGAAAAGTGACAAAGTATGCTCAAAAATGTCGGTTTGCCGACTGAAATGTGCTTGTTTTTTTACTAAGCTGTTGATGTATACTTTAGTCAATACAAGGAGGAGGAGGCAGTTGCACAGTTTCAAAACATTACAATAGATCGCTTTTGGGGGTGAGGCTGCTTGAACAATATCTTGGAAAACAAACAAAAAAGGTTGTATATCTTAGAAGCATCTCTAAGATATATAACCATCAATTCAATTAGGTTTGCAATTATCCAAGGGTTATTTTGGTAACAGTCCATGTTTATTTATTACAATCTCAAAATTAAAGGGGCATTATGGAGTTTCCTGCGGCCACTAGTGGTGCAGTTTTAAGATTGCAACCAGGCGTGTGCTCGTACGCGTGTTCGCTTGAACTCATGAGCGAGCATAATCCGAAACACAACCGCTTTCATACAGAAATACCACAATAAACACATGAACACCAGCATGCAGGCTGTGGCTTTTCTCCAGTCATGTTCAGGTTCTGTTACTTAAACGTTCCCGTCTCAGAGGCAGATCAACACCGGCTGAGTATGATGAGCTGGATACCATATTGTGCCAGACAGCTTTTACTTTAATTAATATATTCCTTTGTCTGTTTTATTATTTAATTATGTATGTCAGGGTTAGTGGTGGTGAGGTAAGTTGGTGGACCCAAATGCAGGACGCAAGGCAAAAGAGGTACAGTTCAAAGGGTTTATTGTAGCAAAACAAAAGGCGAGCACACCTACTGACAGAGTGGCTGAGAGTCTTACAGAGAATAAACAATCCAAATTAAACAGATAATCCAAACAGGTGCAGATCCAAGACAGGGACGGGACGGGACGGGACGGGACGGAGCTTCACATGACAGAGCGTCTACACGCAACAATGACCGGACAGGGAATGAACAGAAACACCAAACATTTATACACAGGGACTAACGAGCAGGGTGGGAGCAACACAGGTGACAGACATGAGGCTAACGAGGCACAGGCAGGGAGAGAGAGCAGGGGGAAAACAGACATGCAGAGGGATCACTGGGGTAACAGACATGGCAAAGATTACCAAACACTAGACGACAGACAAGACAGAACCCCAAAACCCAACAGACCAAAATAACAGATAATAACGCTGACTAAACACAAAAGTACAAAACACGGCATGGCAGACAGGCAGAGTGTGACAATGTATTGATTTGTCACCGGGCCGGACAGGGGGGCAGACGTGCTACATTGTTAGCTCGCCTGCTGCTTTCTGTAACTATCTTTACTATCTGTATCTTTCACCGGAGGCTCAGCAATGTCAGCACAGCTACATGTATTGGATGATAACAAAACTGGTAGTGAGCTGGACTTAACATTATAATGAGATTGTATCACACTTTATAATAATAAGACCACAGTAAGTAACTTTGCTGTAGTGTTACTGCATGGCTATTCCTCTTTGGTTATTGTTGCTGTGAAGCTGCAGTGTTCTATATTATGTAGGTCACGTTAGTTACAGCGACTGAGAGATGGACTTTACACTGGATAACATCAGCAACTGATCGGCGTTATCTGGCGAGCTAACGTGACTTTCTCCGTTTCTCCAGCTTTACTAATGCTCACTTTGTTCTTTCGACATCATCTGAACCCGTTTGGTCTGATGGGCTTCAGCACATAAACCTTTATTGTTGTTTTGGATCCTTACGTGGAGCCTGTGTTTTGTTGTGAGCTGGTTGTTTTATGGTGTTAGTGGACTGCATGTTGTTAGCTGCTGTGTTGTCGCTGTAGTACGAGAGGAGCGCGCACAGTGCTGAATCCGACCCGGAGACCCCACATTAAAAGCAGAATAGTGGCTGATGCAAGCAAGAGAGAAAACAGGTGTGTGCTTCATTTCTAAGTGAGTTTTGAGCCCATTGACAAAAAGGCAATGAAAATTACCTTTAAGATAGTAGTTTCCAATAAATTACCTTGTCTTCCATAGTTATTGTTCATGGGTACACCCATATATAGACGGTTTATCAAAAAATTACCTTACACTTACCTGGTAACCACCCTGGTAGGAACAGTTTCCCACTGATATCATGGCACATCTTAAAGGAGACCTATTAAACTGCTTTTCCAGTCCTATATCGTAGTTCTGTGACACCTGTATGGGACTCAAAGTTCAAAAATCTATTTTATTTTCTTATCATCATGATTCTTCATGTAGGGCTTCATTTCAGTCTCTGTGTGAAACAAGCTGCAAATGCTCCTGTCTCTTTATGCCCCCCCTCTCAAAGCCCACTGTCTTCTGATTGGCCAAGACCTGAAGCCATGCTGTTGTTGCTGGGCAGAAGAGGCACTGAGCTGTTGCTATTGGAGCACATGCCCATATATGGAACAGCAGCTCCCTCTGGCTCCGTATTGCCTAGAATGGAGCCTTTGGTAGAAAAAGCAGTTCAAAACAGACCGTTAAGAACAGGAGGAAATCTGAGGCAAACAAGGATTTCTTTTAAATACTTTAACCTCGTTTTTTGAAGCTTTGGCCACGTTTAACATTCATCCAACATTATAAATAATGTGGAAAAGCATAATACTGCTTCTTTAAATACTGGGTATGTTCTTGCAGATGTTTATATAATTTACTCAGTAAGTAAAGTGTAACTGTTCTGTAAAAGGAAGCCTTGTTTATTACCATAGTATTACCAGACTCTTAGCACATGCTTTGCTACTGGTTATACATTAATGAAATTTCAAACTTTTACCATGTATGTTTTGCAATTTAACTAACTAAACATTCTCAGTAAGTAAAGTGTAATTGTACTGTAAGAGGAAGCCTTGTTAATTTCCATGGTTTTATCAGGATCTTAACCCTATAATCTGTAATAGATTTTCCTCCCCTTTTCGGTAACATACAAGCGCAAATTTGTACCATATAGTGTAAAACGTTAGTAGGTAAAACAACACTATTTACTCGGTAAGCTGAAAATATACTGTAAAAGGACACCTTGTCACGGATTGGTGGTGAAGGCTGGGTGGAGCAGGTTGGAGGACCCAAACGCAGGACACAGAGCGGAGCAGGTATAGTTCAGTGGTTTTAATATAACAAAAAGCGAGCACACTTACAAACAGAGTGGCTGATAGACTGAGTCCAAAAACAAGGGCTGTCCAACAGAAATACAAAATCAAATAACAGCAGGGAAACACGACGAGTGAAGCTGACGACACGAAACACACTGCTATACACTGCTATACAGGATGACAACATACAATGACACGACAAAGACAAGACAGAAACACCAGGTATATATATACAGGGACTAACGAGCAGGGCGGGAGCAACACAGGTGAAAGACATGAGGCTAACGCGGCACAGGTGGGGGGGAAACAGAGACAGACATGCAGAGGGATCACTGGGGTAACAGACATGACAAGGGTTACCGAACACTAGACGAAAGGGAGGGCAGGGACAGGCAGAGTGTGACACGCCTTGTGTCACATTGTAATATCAGGCACTTATAATTTGTGATGGGTTTGTGTGGCCTCTGGGTTTGTGTGGCCTCTGAGCAGCTCTGAGTCACTTTTTCATTTTATTTCTTTTTTAAATAGACTGAAACTACTAATCACATGGTAGGAAATCTGCAGTATTTAGCCCATCAGCATCACTTAAAACTTGTAGCACGCTCTGACGTCTTTGCAAAGGCGTCCAAGAATACCCTTCTTGTGCTCCTTTCCAAACCAGTGGCTCCACTCAATGAACCTCAAGTTCATCTTTAATGCCTTCTCTGTCAGGTATCCTCTGTATTGGTAAATGCCCTCTTTATAATTTCGCCACGCCCATTTGATGTGCTGCGTGTGAGCACCACTCCCAGGGTGGACAAAATATCTCCGGTGATTCACCATGTAACCATGAACTGTTGTAGACACCCAAGCTATTACTTATTGCTTTACTACCAGGTCTAATGTACTTCTGGATTATTGGGAGCAGTCACTTTCTGGATCGAGTCTATGCAAAGTAATATGTTTTGCTGTTTTAGTTCTGTACTCCAACACCTTCAGTGTGAAAAGATTCAGTGACTATGAGGTTGAAGTACACACTGTCAGCTTCAGTTTTAGGGTACTTGACATTAGCACTTTTTGTACATGGTCATTTTATGCTACTAAAAGTATTTGGACAGATTAACATTATGGTCAAAGGTTGTAGTGAGTTCTTGGTCACCATGCAGTAACGGTATTGCGTCTGTGACCTGTAGGCATCACCAGAAGCTAGATTTCCCAGGTGATGTTCTAAAGGCTTTTTGTTTTCTCTTCAGTATTTGAAATATTTAAATCTGATTCAGACTGGGTGTTTTGACTTGTTATGTTTGTTACATGTTGTTTGTTACATGTTGTTGTTACATGTTACATTTTTTCAAACTCAGGATGCTAGAATACTGTCCCAAAGTGTCACTGTCCCAAAGCTGTGCTTACTCTCACTTCTCCCCCAATCTTGACACTGTATAATCTAATGGCACATTGATCCAGGTGTAGCCTGTGTGGCAATGATGCTTGGCTCTTACCACCTATATCCATCCTTGGTCGTGTTGGATCTTTTGACTTTCATTCTGTTGTTGCACACAGGGCAATTTTTTACCCCCTTCTGCTGTCCAATGATTGCATTTAGAAAGACCAACAGTATAGAAACGTCAAGCATCCACCGTTGAAGGAAAACTCAGAAGCTTTACAACATATCATCCTCAATATGTGACTTTTCTGAGATCGTTTTGAAGTACATATGGCCAACCTGCAAAATGTGGTTTATCACAGCATAGAAGTACTCACTCCATGTTGCCAGCAGGTGGTGCTATAACTATGTGTGAATATTGGTACATGTCTTCAGGGCAGAAATCTTATCAAACGTCTAAGATTTGGTACAGAATTGAGCATTTACAGTGAAGTTCCAACAACCTCCTGTGTCAAGGCGAAGCATGGAACTTTGCTGCCATGGACACGCTGTTAACCGAAAACTCACAAGCTTCACTACATAGCATTATAAATGTGTTAAGGCTTTTCTGGGACATTTTCAAAGTTGATATGACCAACTTACTAAGAGAAGTTCATCACATCATAAATCTTTCCTCTTGCCAGTCGGTGGCGATATGACTTTGAGTAAATGTTGGCATATGTATGTGTTCATGGCCGGACTGTTATCATACATGTCAAATATGGACCAGATGTAAGCATGTAGACTGAAGTCATAACAACTTCCTGTTTCATGGCGAATCACCGATTTCAACGCGACGGATACCTCCGGTCAACAAAAACTTACCATTTGTACAACGTGTAACCATCAAAAAATTAAAGTCGATCTGACTAATTCTCTAGGAGGAGTTCATTAAAGTGCGGAGTGAGTAAATCGCCAAATATGACAATTAAATCCAAAATAGCAGTCTTCCTGTTGGTTGTGATGCCGTGTGTGCAAAGTTTTGTAAATTTTAGAGGACGTTTACGCTGTCAAAAATGCAGTATATTTGCAGAAATATTTCTTCAGTTCAGTATTGGAGTCAACATGCCCTGATCTGGATTTGGTACGCCCTTAACCACTGTGCTATTGAGATACACTGAAATATGAATGCTTTTAACTTTCGCTATTGCTGTGGTTTTGAATGGAAAAGGTTGAAAGCAGTCATCACTGTTGGCAGAGGTGGGATTCAAACCTGGGTCTGGATTCATAAGAAACCAGGGGCGTTTTTAGGATCTTGAAACATTGGGGGCTTAGCCCAGCCCATAAAACTTCATATCTTCACATAATAATTGGACCCCACACCCCCATCCCAAAGTTAAGTCTGTAAAGCAGTAAAGCAACAGTAAAAATCCTCTACTTATACGGCACAACAAACCTATTAACTGTCTCATTTTGATGTTGCTAAATTGTAATGTCATGTGTCTAATTATAATAACTATAACAACAAACCTCTGACGGTATGAACTTTTTATGAGGGGTTTGTAAGCTAGACCTAGGAATAGAGGTGGTCAGACTGCCCAAGCTAAATGTTCTGTATTTGTGTAGAGACATTCTAGGTTTTATGACCACTCAAATCACTTTTACACTATATCACATTCAACCACTCATATACTGATGGCGGAGAGGCTAAGTCAACTGCACATGAGAAACGAAATAAAATTCATACACATTCACACACCAATGGCACAGCAATTTGGGGTTCAGTGTCTTGCCCAAGGACACTTGCAGCCTGGGGACATGCTGCCTGGGGAAGCCGGGGATCAAACCACAGACCTTCCAGTTTGTGGGCGACCGCTCTACCGCTGAGCCTCAGAAGTGCTAAGGTAGCACCAGGTTAGTGCACCCGGAGTTATTGACAAAAATGCTCAAACCTCTTCTACAGATGTTGCCGGAGCCCGCTGGCACAGAAGGTCAGCTAGCTGGAGAGTTGAGTCTGCAATGTTGCTGCTGAGTCTCTGTGAACATCAGTAGAAAGCACCTCTCCACACTTTTCTGGGAGGATAGCCTGGGTTTTAACTTGTTCATTTTGTTATCCAATGAACGAACACTGTCTAAGAAGATGCTGGGGAGTGGACTTTGAAGGGAGAACTGCTTAACTTGTGGCATGTAGCCCAGCCTGCTTTCCCCTCTTCTGTTTATGCTCCTGTCGATGGGGAAATTGTCAATTTCTTTCCCTCTGAAAACCACACACTGACTTTAGCTTTCTACTTACATAGCAGCTGATAAATACTGACATTTTTCAGTTTCTAATCTTTTGTAATGATCCGCAACCGCACTGGAACACTGTTTCTTTGTCTGTCAGTCTGGGGCTGGGGCAAACAAGCGGCCCTCCCAACTTGGACTGAGCCTCGTTTTTGATGAATTCTGATTCACTCAATGGCGCCGAGCAGACAAGTTACTTTCCATCTGGGGTGAGTTCAATCAAAAACCTTTTGCACCGATTTACTAAGTTTTGTCAGGGCTGAACTCAGCCAGGATTGTGTGACAAGAAACAGAGCAAGGGGGCGAAAGAATGTCCATCTCCCTTGTTCTCCATTCTTTTACTTTACTTTACTTTACTACAGCTGACTTGAACAACATCAGGTCCAGTGCAGGTGACCTGCCGCACAGTCGCGTATTCACACCAAGGATGGTGCATTCAGTAACTCGTACCGCAGCGTTACTTGGATTAGTAACTGTAATAATGTTTTGGAAATAGTAATCCGTTACACTGCTAGTTACTTGAAAAATGAGTAAATGAAAAGTAATATTATTACAGTTCCTGCCCAACACTGCCAACTGTAGCCTAGCTATGAAATTAGTTTTAATTTAATGTTAGAATATTATACTAATAGAGATAATTTATACTTTACAGATTCTGTGCAACCAAAATAAAGATTTTTCTTAACAATTAAATAATACTGACAGATTAAACTCAATCAGCAACAGAAAACTACTTCCTTAAAAGAGAAAGCAAGCATATAACAAAATCTAACTGAAAGCACAAGACTGAACCTTAACTTAGGGAAACATTTTTAACACCCTCCTCCTCTGGAGTGAACACGAGCCTACAGCTCGCTGCTGCCTGACCCTAACTGGTCCACCATTTACACTGGGGACGTATCCCCACCACATTTCGATTTTGTCCCCATCACTTTTTGAAAGCTTTTATTAAAAACAATCTGAAAAACAGCACCAAGAAATTTTAACTAACAAATGAAAATGCTTTGAGAAAGGTTGATTTGCACAATAAGAAAACATGCAATGCAATGTAGTTTTCCCTCATATAAAAAAAAGGCATTTCCACCGTAAATTGAAGCAGAAAATGTCTCCAGAATGCAGGAAATTACCAGTTTAATGCTCAAAATGTTATGGGGGAGGACCCCCAGACCCCCCACACATATTTCAGCATCAAATATTTACTCTAAATAGTGCTAAAAATCTTCTTGTCTTGTTCTCGTGCATTGTCACGTCTCATGACCCAAATGTATCATCACGCCCCTGATCTGAGCCCTTATGTCCCCACCACATTTCAACACAAAGTGACGCCCTTGACTGACCCGCTCCGCTCTGCACCAGCTCCTCTCTGATAGGCCTACTTATTGTCTCCACCGATTAGTGAACACTTTTACAAGGCATTGTATGCATGTTACATTCTCATTAGGGGCTGAGCACCCCGAAAGGACTGATCCTTTCTAGACATGCAACTGACAACCGTGTCATGTCATCTCATCTCAGAAAGTTAACAAGACGGTTCCGCTGGTATAATAGAACTACCAGGTTTTGTGTATGTCAGTTACTGGTAATTTGATTGAACACAACTTTATTTAGGGATGTGCTTCACCTGAGCACAACATAATCTATAATAATGAGAATCTAAAAACTAGATTTTGAAATCTAAAATATGGCCACAAAATTAGCTAGTAATCCCATGCCTGCAATAGTTGATTGTACTTCAGTAGCGCCTAATAATAGCCCCGGCATCTTCATTGAAGGTAAGACACCTCACAATGATAGGAAGGTGTCCTATCATTGTTTATGCATTTCCTCCAAATTCAGCCAGACAGATGTGGTATCAGTGGGAAGTCTTGGCTCTCAACTAGAAGTTGATATCAAGTTCTGTGTGAATTTGTATTGATTAAAAAATGGAGGTACTTGTGCTGTTCAAAGTTACCCTGTCATCTCACACCAGTCTCTTCCCCTCTTTCCTCCATCCCTCCTTCCTATAGCTGTGATGAAGATGTCAACGAATGCGACCGCAGAAATCCAGAGGGTGAGTGTGAGAATGGCGGTGTCTGCGTCAACACTCACGGTTCCTTCTACTGTAACTGTACGGCGGGCTTCGTGGGCCAACATTGCAGCCTGAGGCCTGTCGTTGTCCCTGACATGCAGGCAGGTCACGCTGTGGTTGGTAAAGAGGAGCTGATTGGCATTTCTGTGGTGCTTTTTGTCATCATCACTCTCATCATCCTCTTCATCGCTTTCCGCAAGAAGGTTTTCCAGAAGAACTACTCGCGGAACAATCTGTCTCTGGTCCAGGACCCGGCCACTGCAGCACTCCTCAACAAGGCTAACGGTCTTCAGTTTAAGACCCTACACTGCACACCTGGAGACCCTCTCAACCTGTACTCAGAGCCAGGGCTGGGGCCCACTGTGGGGGGAGGGGGTGGGATGATGGGACCTCCACAGGTCCCTGTCAGGCCCATGGCATACACACCATGTTTCCAAGGAGACCCACGGCCCACACTGGAGAAGACTGTGGATGGGCGCGGTGTGGAGCATACAGAGATGACCACCTTTCATCCAGAATCACCAAGGATCTTGTCAGGAACCAACAGGAGGGGGGTGGTGGTGTGCAGCGTGGCCCCCAACATGCCGGCAGTGTCACCCTGTCGCTCAGATTGTGACTCCATACGCAAGAGCCCATGGGACAGTGATGAGGGTGAGTGTGGTTTTTTTACAATGTGCCAAAGTGAGAACTTACAGTTAGAAAATGTTAGGGTTAATAAAGAAATATTATGAGGAGATATAGTGTCCACAAATCATTGGACCTCTGAGTGAGAAATGTCATACTTAACTGCTGTGTAGAGTTACAAGCTGCTCATTTTACCTGTGAAAAAGAGGCCCTGGCAGACTACACAATCATCTAATTATCGGATCTAATTTAACATATGTAACTGATCTGAGCTCAATGTGCTTACATGCACATTCAAGTAAAACTACTTCCAGGAAAAAGCCACAGCCTCACTGACAGAAACGGTCCTTTCTCCAGCTTACTGCTTTTGAATATTACAAATATATATTACTGAGATGGTTCAGAAATACTGCAAATGCTTGCATCTAACCCTGACGTTTTACTTTAATAGTCTCCAGATAATTTGTTACTTATGTTACCCTCATGCTACAATATACATTAGTGTAAGTGAACCTCTTACTCACACCCTTTAGTTCTCAACACCTAAAATTGGAAAACAAAGTACATGGTAAATTTATTCATTTTAAAACACAGGGTGGTATAATGAGATGAAGCTGCAGTCCCCTTTATGCAACACACAAAAGCAAACATTACATACAAAAATTATATACAGAGAATGGATGAATAAAATAAGTCATACAAATAAAACAATTTTAAATGGAGCAGTGCTGAGGATGAATTAGAGCTTGATAGCTTGGGTGGAAAAAGCTGCTCTGCAGTCTGGTGGTGTGGCAGCAGAAACTTCTATATCTCTTCCCAGAAGGCAGCAGGGTGAACAGGCTGTGGCTGGGTGGGTACTGTCCTTTAGTATCCTTTGGGCTCTGCAGCACTTTGACCATAATGCTTAAAGGAACATTATGTAGGTAGTTTTTTGTTTGATTTGGCATCCATTATCATTTCAGAGTGTAATTCGCCACTGTGGTACATAAGGACAGCTGTGCATGTGCATTTGTTATGATTTCATTACTTAGCCAACTTGGCTAACAGCTAAACCTCAAATAAGTGCAACAACACAAGACACAGCAATATTACTGACTAGTCCAACAGCAAGAAGGCCAGCTCGGCATCTGTCCTGCATTCTTTCAGCTTGTTAAGTTCATGCCAACAAGTCCCATATTTACTCTTTCATCTTGCTCGGTCACTCTCTTTAAAAAATAAATAAAGAATCATGTAGAAATAATAAAATTTCTACATGATGTTTGTTTCAATTCTGTATTCCCTACCACATGGTGTGGTTGCACATCCACAGCTGTAAACAAATCTCCAGTGAGAGGCTGCCTGAATGCTATGGGAAGGACTCCATTGTGTTGGACATTCGAATGGCAGCAACATTACATGAGCTCGACTAACTGGTCAACCAGTCTAAGCCGACTAGCTCTAGAATTTCCATTCCGCATGTGCAAGTAGTACATAAATAGACTATTTTGAAAGTAGTTATTTGGGTCACAGGGCGTACCAAACTCAAAAAATCGCATACCAAACTAAACATCCTGTACCAAATGGTTTAGAATGAATACACATACTGTTACACCTGACGGGTTAGGGTTGTGCAGATACAGTAATCAATATAGATCATCAGTAGACATGACTAAAGTTTTATGAATTATATATTACAAAAAGTGAATAAATGAATAGAGCTTACAATGTATCAAAATAAAACAATCACAATAAAAAGAAATTTGTCAGAAATATTGCTATTGGGTAAACCAAATTATTGAGAAGATATCTCAAATACCAGAAGTGATATTCAATAGGAATATCACAGAATCCTCTCATTGTTAAAGGCAACCGAATTAGTATTGAATGTTAGAATACTTTCTAACATTCAATACTAATTCAGATTAAACTAGTTTTTGAATAGACTATGGCTGTGTTTGAAACAGAAGGCAGTTGCCTCGCTGCCTCGATACCGTAACAGACAGCTGCCTCAGAAGGCATCACTTTCAAGTGAAGGCAGCTCTGTTTACATTAGTTTCAAACAGCCTTCTAGGGCAGCACTTACGGCAATGTGTGTCGTCAGCACGCCGTCTTGCATCTCTTCTGGCTGTCAGAAGAGACGCTAGCCTTAGCATCAGCTAACTAGCTACTGAAAAGCCAAATGGCTAACAGACGCCTCAGAAATCATACTGAACAAACTTGGTTGGTTACAGTCACGGGCTAATATGATAGTTCAGTGTTTAGTTCTCGCTAGATTTTCAAAAATCTAAGTGAGAAAACTACTAAAAACCTTGAAAGACGTATATTTGTGTACAAATTCTGCTTGTTTGTCCGCCATCTTGGCCAGTTTTTGAAAGCTACGGCGGCCACAGCTGCACTGCTTTATGGGTAATAGTTACCATCGATGCAGCCTTCAAAACTGTTTTGAACAGCACTCGATACCTCGCTGTCCTGTTAGACACCTTCTGCGACAGCAGTTTAGCCCGTTTCGAACACAGCCCATAATGATGCAGAATGTCAGAATTCCCAGAATGTAACAAAACAGAATGATTAATCTTCCAACATGAGAGATTACACAACTCCAAGGGCTATTTCTGTTCTAATGAGACCGGAGCCCTTGACTGTTTCTGGGACTCCTTCGAAGAAGCAAAAGATAAGCTTTCTCTACATGTCAAATGATATATGAGGTTTCCTTAAAAAATAGAACACACACTTTCGATGGGAACTGAGTGTACTTGCCAGGTTGCAACTGTCAGCTTGACCAATTGTTTAGCCAACATCTGTTTTCCCATCACCAAATCTTACATAGTCTAGTACATTTTCCTGGCAGCATGTGTAAAGAATGCTCTTTTTATCAATATAGTTTAAAAGTTTACTTGCTGAGACCTCTGTAAAAATTGGTGACTTATGCAGTCAGTGTTCCAGACTTTCTAAATGTTATTTCACTCATAAACACTATTGTTTATGTAACTCCATAGGTTAGATGTTAAACCATTGTTGTTTTGTTCAAAGTTACACAAAAGGCAAAAGCTGCTACCACAAAAGTTCTCTACACACCCCTAAAAAATAGTCATAGTTTCAGCTCCTCAAAAGGCATTTTTTCTAGATTTGTCTCTGTTTTGGAATCTGGCTGTTCTTACTCCCTGAACTCTCCCTGCAGGTAAGATGGTTGACATGGCAGAAGAAGTAACGTGTTTCTCAGAAAGCAACAAAGGCAGTAACTCAGAAGTCCAATCACTGAGCTCCTTCCAGTCTGATTCCTGTGATGACAATGGTAAGACACACCTTGCACCCACAGTAGGAGTGGTTAAGCATTCTCAGAATAAAACAGTTCCCTGAGTGTTTCAGTTCTTTTACACTTATTTTAAACTGTTTTGTTTGCTTGTTTATTAGTTGATTACACTGCGTCTATCAATATACATGCAACACCTGTGCTATCCTTCAGATGTGGTTTTCATCCATTTGGGAGAAAATGTTGGTGAATTTGTGGACTAAATTAGAGTGCTTTTAAATTTGTCATAAAAATATGTATTCAAGATCTGAATAAACCAGTTGTACTGACATACTTTTATTTTTTGTCAAGAAATTGCTTGATCAGTTCCAGCCTAACCTGAAAACGTACATCTCTCAGACTTCAATAAATGGGTAAATGGAGTCATGGATGTCATACTAGAAAAGTATAAAATGAATCCAATTTTCATGTGCATGCTGCTAAACAAATAGAGTCGCAGGAAAAAAACTGTGAACCCTTTGGATTTACCTGGATTTCTGCATAAATTGGTCATAAAATATATAAAAAAGTACACGCATAACTTCAGGCGGTGCAATGCACCATGGCCTCATGCCCGCCTTTAGCAATATTTATAAAAATGCACCTGGCCTATGAGACTTCACTCCACTTATTTTTTTGACAGAATGATTGCTATTTATACCACCCTCATATATCATGTTCATGATTACACTATATCACATAATATATTTTTAATATTATGTGTTTCTGTTATCAAATTGTTATTAAATTTAGTTGTTTGTTCTTAAAATGTATGAAGTAACAAAGTTTGAAATCTGATCTTTACCCTGTCATGCTCAATAATGTGCTGCTTGGAAATCTTGTCATGTTTGTTGCAACGGTAACTTGTTAGGAAAAGTCTGTAGGCTATTTGTGATGTTTAGTAAGTGTAAGCGTACAAGTGGCACACAGAAGAGGACCTATTACACCACCACTACCAAGGCAGGTATTAAACATCCATGAACATGGCTGTGTAATTAGCCCACCCTGGATTGTGCTTATTGTGAGCCTTGTTGGCTATTTGCAGACCGAAGTGCCCCTTTCTACAGATATGCGTGTGTCACAGGAGTTCTGGATTAGTAACATTTGTCTGACAGGATCGAGTCACACACACAATCTCAGGTTCATGTTGGAGCGCATGTCATATATGAACATGGGAGAATAGAAACACTGCCACTTACTGGAGACGAAGTTCTGAAGTTCTTGAGCGTATTGTGAATGTTACCACCACCCTGGCAACTTGCAACCTGGCCCTCAGAGGACACAAGAAGAAATATGGAAAGCCCAACAGCAGGAACATTCTCACTATAATTTAACTATTGACAGGCCCGCATTAACCTGCCGTTAGGCCCTGGGGCTGAGAGGTTTTGTAGGCCCACAATAAAGACAATAAAAATGTGTAATTACCACATATGTCTATACAGAACAAAAGTAGAAAGTAGTTTCTCTCTGGAGATATAATGAAGACAGTATTCCATAAAAATAAAAAAAAATACCTGACAAAGATGTAGAAAAAGCTTTGATTATGTCAGTAAAATCCTACTCACAAAGAATGCTGTGTTCAGTGGACATCAGTGTGAAGTTACTGACTGTCTTGCTGCATGCTTGATCGCAGTCTATATTTCACCAGTGCCAGTTTAGAGAAGGAAGCCGCTCATGTTGGTCATTATTAGTATTATTATTATATGTAGCCATTTTGCTACAATTACGCTTCACACAACAGCTGTTTGTGACCTGACCCTATCTATTGTCCGTGAGATGGAAGAATTTAGCTGCAGTAGTACATGGATCATGCGTAATATTCATCCAGCCAGAGGGAACGATCACGAACCGTTCACAGCACGTCGGCCATACTAGTGACACAACCTGTACCGGAGAGGGAGTGGAGCGATGGAGCTTACAGGGCCAGGGACAGAAGATCGGCCGGCCTGCTGCAAACGGTCGGTGATCGTTCCCTCTGGCTGGATGAAGTCTGACGCTCCTGATTCTACACATGGATCCATGATGATAGAGAAATATTGAAATTAATGGCAATAAAGCATGCTTTCAATATTGTAGAGACTCCCAAAATATCACAAATTGTGCTTTTAGGGGAGCTGATGTCTTATTAAGGGAGCTAAGCTCCCCCTCGCTCCCCTGTAGTTCGCACCCAGTCTGTGTTGGGAAACACTGTATGGAGTTTTCTACTCCTTAATACTTTCTGTAACTCCAATGCCGACGTGATGCTCAACTTGTCATTCTGTACAAACTCCCTAAACTGTACCGCTAAGTCCTCTTCCAAGTCACAGTGGTATTTCTTCTGCAGGCTCTCCACTGCTGAACGGAGCTTTTGAGGGAAAATTGAGTTGAATCTGTTTAAAAATCTAAAGTTTTCACACACGTCAATATATAACTTGTATCTTCGGTCCAGCTCTGACACTAGCCAGCTCGCACTCAGCTTCAGATGACTCGTCAGCCTATCTCTTTCTATGTGCTTTGTACTCATCGAACACGGTGGGGGGAATGTTCTTTGCAGCCATCTCAAAGCTGTCAAATTGATCCCATAGGCCTGCTATGTATTCTCGCAAATACCGAACCAGATCAACAGCATTGCCAACTACACTGCTTGCAGTGCCGTGCTCACGACCTGGAAACGTTGAAGAATGGCATTCCACATTTTGCCCATAATGCAATTTCCAGTTTATTCATTTTTTGTATAGTACACTGGCCTCCTCTCTAGTGCTCAGATTCTGGTGCTCATCATCGACAATGTTCAATAATGACTGCTGGATACCAACATAATTCTGACACAGGGTTTTGGTTGCAACAGCGTGCGCTGATCATCTAGTATCAGAAAGTGTTTTTAAAGTTTCTGTTACGTTACGTTGTTATCATAAGATTGAAACCCAGCCTTTATCGTCTGCCAGCGTGAAGTGGTCTTTGAGAAAAAATTAAACAAGGACTGCACAAAATATGCAAGCAGTGAGAGGGGATATCCTTTTTGGAGGGCAATTATCTAATGCATTGTGCTATTACAGTTGAGGGTATAATTTTACACAAAACTGAATCAAACTTTAAAGATGCACACCATCTGTTATCAATACACACACTGAAAGTTGCATTTACTGAGACGTACGCTCTCTCTCTCACTCACTCAGTCACTCTTCTCTCACCCCAAATAGCATATATAGCCCACTGCTTTTAGTGCAGGTTAAGAATAAAAGAAGCATTCATAAGATCAATCAGAAGACGATTGAAGACATTTGCATAGTAGCAGTGGTGCATGTATCAAATGGACCTCCATACTTCTTAATGCTTGGCAAAATGTTCATAACACGACATCACTGAAGACTAACAACCGAGTACCCGACCAACAGAGTATAGACAATTATTCAGGTAGCCTAACCTGGCCCAGTGCCCTGTGGCAGGTGCTGTCTGTGGTGCTCATTATCTATGCGTACACAACTGTAAAAACAGTAAGGTTACTTCAGCGGACTATTCATTCACAGCTAAATCCAGGCAAGCAAAGCAAAACAAACAATATAACCACATTAAAAATCGCACAAATAGCTGCAGTTCAGTTAAGATCAGAGAGAGAAGGAGGTGACATTTCACTCACCCTATCTGAAAAGGAAGGCCATTCTCCTGTCTGTCATGTGGTAAAGTGGTCAATAACCAAGTTATAGAATTTCCCACTGGCTTTTTGTCCTCCGCAACAACGGAGTCAGTCGAAGTTTGACCAGCTAGCCACACCACTGTACGGATATAGTTTTCCTCATTGAACGTCCAAAACCCCTTTTTCCTCTCCACGCGCAGCTCCAGTTTTGGTGTTGGTCTTCTGTCAGATTTAATCTTAAGTTGCTGCTGTAGTGGTAGTTTAGTAAAATATTTATTATAACTAAAAACTCCAAATCTCCACCCTTCATAACTGCACCAGCTAAAGTTGCTAACAGCTCCTGTTATTTCATCTGAATGAGTTGATCGCATGCTGTGGCTGGCTTCCCTTGGCATCATCCTGACTAATCACAGTTGGCCAGTGGCATGACAGTGGCCTCATCTGATTGGTTAGTCATTAAAAAAAGAAATTTCACAAATGGATGCCACCTCTGCCTGGCCTCCTCGCGTAGTCAGACTGAAGGCCAGTCTACGCTGGGTTTCACCACAAATCCAACGCATAGCAGTTAGGGGCGCTGTTTCACTTATTGTAAGATAGTGAGAAATGGGGAAGAGATGACCGCAACAGCTTATAAGATTTATCAAAATTATAAAAATTGTGTTTTTATTGAAATGATAAAAATAGTCTGATAAAAACAGGGGAAGTCTGGCTTCCCTTGGCTTCTGGGAGAAGACGCCACTGCTCTACAGCCTTCTGGCAATACGTACCGCAGAATGAAAGTCCACATGTGTGATATCTGGAGTCTACACTGACAGAGAAATACTTTGCAAGTTTCACCCCCCCAGATGACTTCATCTAGCACCTTCTGTCCCATCAGCTGTATGAACTACTCACACACAGTCAGGGAGAGGTAGGATGGGTTTCCTCTGCCTGCATTTCCACTTTTATCAATATGGGCTTTTAAAAAAGGATCAAACTGACTGATCAGGTCCATGCTACCCAAATAGTTGCCATTGTTACCGTCTCCAAACCTGTGGCTATCACCTCTAAAAGCAAGTCCCCGCTCTGCCAAATATTTCACTACAGCAACAACCCTCTGTAGAACCTGTTTCCAATATTCACACTCATCATTAAACTGCTTTTTGAGTTCCGAGTCCACTGTCCCACGGCCAGCTGTCTGGTTGATGTAAGCAATCATAGATTTCCTGTGCATGTCACAGTTTTCATGTTCTGCTTTATGTTCACTTGCATGCTTCCAATTAGTGTAGCCCATGCTGCCAAATGGTGATGACTTGTCTTTGCTCTCGCCAAATATTTTGCATGCAAAGCAAAACACACTACCTTGCGATGGTGATTAACATAGCCAACCTTTGAGTAGATATTCACCATT